TAAAAGTGAAGGAAACAGAACTGAGCCACAGGGTGGTGAAACTTAAGACCCTCCCTCGGCCACTTTCCAGATCTCTGTGTGTTTGTGGGGCGGGGGTATTTCCGGTCTTTAATCCCAGCATTCAGGAGGCAGAGGCAGAGGCAGAGGCAGGTGGATCTCTGAGTTTGAAGCCAGCCTGGTCTACAGAGCTAGTTCCAGAATATCCAGCGCTACACAGAGAAACCCTGTCTCTGAAAAAGGAAAACGAAATCTTCCCCTTGTGTATGCAAGCGTTCCTATGTGTGGATATGTGCATGTGAGTGTGCAGGTGCCAGCAGGGTCCAGCAGAGGGCGTCAGATTCCCCAGAGCTGGAGTTAGAGGCATGGAACCGCAGACCTGGGTGCTGGGAACTGAACGGCTGTCCTCTGCAAGTGAAACACCACCAAACTCTTACTAAATGATTTATTGTTCCTTCCCCTGAGGCTAAAGAGTTTCGATTCACGTGGCTGTAATGACTTCTCTTCCTTGGTCAAAGTCTGATCAGTTCCCAACACATAATCTCTGCAGACTGCAAGATTCGAGAAAACGGCTTGAATTTACAGACATCGGCCTGTCTCTGACCCCTGAGTGCTGGGATTACGAGGTTGCAGCTTGAAAGTCTCGTTTTGATGGCCACATAACACACCATTCCAAAAAGCCACTGCCATATGTTGTGGATATTTTAACCGGACAAAGATGTCACATGTGTTTATGCTGTGGAATATTTAACTGTGTAGAGGTGTGTTAAATTTTCTCTGCTGCCTTTGTTAACAATATAAAGCTGTAAAGCGCTTGTTTGTGCTGCCATTGTTTAACTGTGTAAAGGTGTGTTACATCTGTTTCACCTTGCCTGCCTAGGGCACCTGACTGATCTCATAAAAAGCTGCTGAGCAGGCAGGGATGGCGGATGGGCAGAGAGAATAAACAGGAGGGAGCTAGGCTCAGAGAAGAAGAGACAAGGGAGAAAGAGAAGGTGACACCCAGGGCCGGAAGCCAGACGTGATAAGCAAAGAAAGGCAAAACATAGAGGAAGAGAAACAGGTTAAGTTATGAGTCAGCGAGAAACCTGAGGCCAAGCATTCATAACTGGTAAGGCCACGTCATGATTTGGGAGCTGGTTGGTGGCCTAAAAGGAAAAGCCTGCTACATCCATATCATCCCTGTTTCCTTTTTTATGTTTTTAAGTGAGTAAATACAGTGAGGAGTTAGGACACTCGCCTTCATCTGGGTTTCGGGTAATGAGCTAGAGAAATTGGTTCCGAAAGTCTAGCCTTTTCATCTGAGTTTTCTGGATAGCATAATTTCAAATTAGTTCGTTCTGAATCAAAGAGCAAGCCACTTAATTTAAAGACAAGGCAGGGGCTGGAGAGATGGCTCACACAGTGACGGCTCTTGCCTCGAAAGCCTGGTGACGGGATCCACAGAAAGGTAGGAAGAGAGCAAACTGCACGGTTGTCCTTTGACGTTCACACGCACCCTGTGGCAAGAGCATCCCATGCACACGCAGTAACACACACTAACAGTAAGTAAAATACACACTTACTGTTGAAGGTCTTGTGATGCCATGCTGCTGTTTTCTGTGACTATCTTTGTGCAGAAGACAAAACAGTGATCAATGTTTGGCTTGAATTGGAAGTCAGCCCAAAACAGATGAGTGTCTCAAACGTCTGGGTTTGCTCCACTCGAGCCCTGCCCTTGGACAAGTCTGTCTCATTCTATTGGCCTTGACTGTGTTGATGTAATTAATTTTTAAACAATCTACGTCTGTTTCTGCCACCCATAAAATAGAGACATACCAGGCCCACCTACACCTTCTAGACACCCTGAAGAGACTCAAAATGCGTTAGAACTTTGACATTTAATCAACCATAAACTGCCGTTTTGGAGCTCGTCAGAAGCTAGGGCGGAATGAACAATACAAAATAAGTAGATGGTGCCTTTTCACTACAGGGCAAACCAGCAGGATATTTTTTAAAATTCAATGCAGTAAATGGTCTAGAATTTCCCAAATGTATTTGCGCTCAGAACTTTTCATTTCTATTACATGTATTGACAGCTAAATTGCATTGTGAGGTCGTATGCTCCCATACGTCAGGAAATACAATGTTATAGTTTGTCTTTACATAGAGTGTAAGGTTTGATCTCTTTTGCTGTAATAAGAAGCCAAACGTGCCAGGAAGTGGTGGCGCTCACCTTTAATCTCATCACCCAGGAGGCAGAGGCTCAGGAAGATCTGCGTTTGAGGCCAGCCTGGTCTACAGAGTGAGTTCTGGGACAGCCAGACACACACACACACACACACACACACACACACACACACACACCAGGGAACAACAGCGTGGAGGAAGGACTGAAGAGTAGATACACTGCTTACTGGCTTGCTCTCCATGGACGGCTTGCTCAACCTGCTTTCACACACAGTGGCTCTGCCAGCAGTGGGCTGGGTCCTCCCACATCAATCACCCATCCTGAAAATGACCCACAGACTTGCCTACGGGACAATCTGAGAGAGGCGATTTCTCAGCTGAGGTGCCTCCTTCCCAGGTATCTCTGGTTTGTGTCAAGCCAGCAAAGACTAACCGGCAAAGCCTGCGAAGGCAGCGGGTTGGCTTTCTTTATACCTTGCTGTATCTTGGGGTCTAAAACAGCTGCTTACACACAAGAGGCTTAATAAGATGGGCTCGGTAGTGAATATGCTTTTCATTAGACTTATGCAGCATGAAAAATGAAAGACCTAAAGGGTGATATTGGGGTTCAAGCTTCAACCTGAAGATCAGATAAGCAAAGCAGCGGACCACTAGCTCTTACCTCTACCTCAGCTCAGACCAAAGGGACAAAGGGACGATCCTCAGACTGCTCCCAACTCCACTGCTCCTCAGATTCACTCAGACTGCTATGCTCTCCTCAACATGACTAGAGACTCCGTCTCAGGCTGAATGCCTCTACCTTCTATACCTCTCACATCCTGGGATTAAAGTTGTGAACCCTGATTCATGGTGGTCTTACACTCAGAGATCCATCTGCCTTTCTCCTGAGTCCTGGGGATTAAAGTTGTGTAACACAACTGCCTGATCTCTACAGCTTGAGGCAGGCTTTGCCTTCTGAATCCTCAGGCAAGCTTTAATAAATAATATATCACCACAGACTTATCTAAAAATAACCCCTAAAAGCAATGTGGAACAGTGGGGTAAATCAAAGGTGTTCACACACTAGTGAGAGTGTAAACTGATGAAAAGACCTTCACTTCACGAGAAAAAGCATGTCTTACGATACCCAGGGTGTGGAATTCTTAAATGGGCAAAATAAGTATAAACTATGTGAATTGTGTTGAAAGTCATACAACCATTAGGTTACAGAATCAAAATGGATTATTCTGAAGCTGTGGACACATCCATAGAAATTGTCATCACTTAGAAATTTGCTTATACAACGTGTGTTCATGAAGCTGGAGAGATGGTTCTGTGTTTAAGGGCACTGGCTGCTCCTGCAGAAGACCTGTGTTCAGTCACTAGCGCCCACAGGGAAGCTCACAGCTGCCCCTAACTCCAACACCCATTTCTGCTCTCTCAGATGATATGCACACACATACATGGCACACAAACATATATGCAGGCAGATACTCGCACACATAAAATAACTCTAACTGTATTCACAACCCATAGATAATTCTGTATCCATTTCCCCCTCATGGTAAGAGGAAAGACAAGACACTAAAGTATATATAGATTATGAATCTCTGTATGAAAGGTACAAACACAAAATAAAGGATTCTGTCAACTATGTACTCAACCTATGTGCTAACATATTTATTTAAATATGTTAAATTTCCTGACATAGTGTAAGGCAGACACTACACTACTATAATAACAATTTTATAGCTAAGAAAATTGAGGCACGGAAAATTTGTGTGATTAGGCCAAAGTCACAAAACTATTAAGATTCAAGTCTGGGCAGTCTGCAGCCTAAAAATATTTTGGTAAACAGTTCACCAAGATACGGCATCTGAGTGGTAGAAAAGAAGGGACTGATTTCTCCTACTTCCCCCCCCCCACTTAAAAAAATTATAATGAAGGCGATATTATACCCTAAAAGGGACAAATCAACTAAATGTGTTCCTATAGTAAATCTGAGCAGAAAGCTTTTTTTTTTTTTTTTTAAACGTATTATGTATACAGCGTTTTGCCTGCATATATGCCTGCATGCCAGAAGAAGGCACCAGATCGTGAGCCATCATGTGGTTGCCGGGAATTGAACTCAAGAACTCTGGAAGAGCAGCCCCTGAGAGCTTCCTCTTCTTTTTCTTTTTTAAGTTTATTCACGAGTTAGAACCAGGAACCCTTCTGTTGTTGGGTGTGACTGTCTTTGCTGAGGGAGAAAAAGTAAGAGCCTGTGTTGAAAACGGGTCCGGTGTCATCAATGCAGAGAAACCGGCAAAGGCTCGTGCTGGCTTTTAACTTTCTGCGTTTATCTCTGATTCAAACCTGATTCTGGTTCTGATCTTATTCTATCCTACCCTGAAAAGCACACACCGTCAAAACTTAACAAGTCGTAAGACGAGGAAGGAGGAGAGGAAGGGAGAACCGTGTCGGGCTAGAGAAGCCACGCCTCGAGCATTTGCTCCCGGAAGGTTCGCGTCTGGATTTTTTAATTTTAATTTCTTTAAGCAAAGCATGAAGCCTCGCCGCTAAAGCACGCTTTGGCGGGGTGAATTCTAGACGAGGCAACGATACTGATGGCGAGTGTGACCGAATGTAAACCCTAAACTAAAGAGGGCGCATCCACTCCACACTAACACCCGCTTAGCCGGTAATTTAAGATTTAAATTTTCACACCTCGCTAAGGTTCCGGAGTCCAACCTGAGCCCGGCTCCTGTGGACTACAACTCCCGGCATGCAAGAGGCATTTTTTTTTTTTTAACCCATGCGCCCTGGCACCTGATGAGTCCATTTCCCAGAAAGCCGAGCGGCCGCGCCGGCGCGCGCGTGCGCCCTGGCGCCCTCCGGCCCCGCTCGGGTTTGACCTACCGCCGCCCGGGGAGAGATGGCGGCGCCTGCAGCGTCCGGGCTGAGCCGACAGGTACAGGGGGCCGGCGGGACGGGGCCGCCGCGGCTGGCCGGTCCCGGGCTCGCAGAGCCGCGCGCGAGGCCGAGCCCGAGGCCGAGGGGCCGGGCCGCCCACCAGGGGCCGTGGGGCCCGGCGACCTTGACAGCCGGGGGTCACCGCGCAGAGCGGCGGCCGGCGAGGGCCTGGCGGGTGCTGAGACCGGAACCCGCGAGGCCCGACGGCACCGGGATGCGGGCCTGGGTGGGGCTCATCTGTCGTGATGCCCTCCGTTTGCAACACACACAGCTTTGTTTTTTACCGAGGCCGGTTCTAATCTGTGCGTCCCCGGGATGGACGTGTATTAATGGGCCCCTTGCAAGGGGCCTCCTGGGCTGTGTGTGGATCCCAGGCTTCTCCCTTGACACACAGACACACAGACAGACAGACTGTCACCTCTTAAGACCTGAATGAAGCCCGGTGCCCTGTCAAGTCATCAGGGAACTAACTAATCTTTGGTCTTGAGATAGCATAGAGGTTCCTAAGCAAGTGTATTTTGCTTAGATTGTGGCTGGAATACTCGCAGGGGATAGATTTCCTAATTTATTTATTTATTTTGGAAAATTACATTTTGGGAAGTTAGCATTTTCTCTCTCAACCGTCCAGCGGGGAAGGGGATGGGAAGGCTGTTTCCAGAGCGATTTGGGGTGACCCAACAGGAAACTCGCTTCTAGGTTATAAAGAGCAGTTTCCACTCATGTAGCCTGTTGATTAAATATAAAGGGATACATGCACAGGATCATTTAGATTGTTTTAACATATTGCTAAGCTGATGCAGAAATCCTTCCCATAACCCCGTTTGACCTCTTGTTTTGTTCTGAAGGTGCGGAGCTTCAGTACATCCGTGGTCAGGCCCTTTGCCAAGCTTGTGAGGGTATGTTAACTCACCTTCTTTTGTGGTTGGGAAGCCGATGAGAGAATGCGTTAAACAGAAAGACGGGTGTGCGATTACTAACCTTTTTCCCTTAGCAGCTTCCGAATGAGTGAGTGCCCGGGATAGGAGGGGTGGGCTCAACCCTAACCTTCAGGGTTTTAAAAAACTATTTGCTTGGGGCCAGCAACAGGGCTCTGCAGGTAAAGGCTCCTGGTGGCAAGCCTGAGATTCTAAGTTCAGTCCCTGGAACGCATACAGTGGAAGGGAGGGCCCTGCAAATTGTCTTCTGTCCTCTGTTCTCTACGGGTGTGCACGCACGCACACGGGGCGTGTGTATGAAAGGCAAGCTAGCCTTTCACCAATAGTCTCACCATGGCAAAGACCTGCCTGCCCCTTTCTTTCTAATCCAGAAGTCTGATTGATGCACACAACTCCAACCCCGATACCCAATACAGATTGAAGTGTGGCTGAATGTGCGTGGGGCATTTTGTAACTCGTTTATTACTAGTTCGTGTATGACAGGATCTACTTAGCTCTCTTGGCTTACAGGTCTAAAGATTCTCTGGGCTGTCATTTACTCTCCAGCACCCAGGCCAGTCCAACCCACCTTGGGAAATAGCAGAACGGAATGCTTTGGGAAACCTTAGATGGGACTTACACATTTCACCCATGTCACCAAAGTCCTTCAGACCTCTGTGAATGGAGCCATTCTGTTCACCTGAGCATGTCCTAAACAACCGTCGCAGTGACGGGGGAGTGTGCGCTTGTGCAGTTAGTTCTCTACAGTGTGTGTTATCTTCAGAACTCTTGCTGTTAGTGTTGACCCTCCCGTGCATTGTTACTGCGTTCAGGAAAGCAAAAGCTCGGTGTAAGCAATTGCAGATAGAAGGGCTGGAAGGCACACGGGACACTGTCTTCTCTGCTCCCCCAAAGGTAGAAGGTCCTGGCCGCGATGGGAAGTGAGGTCTGTGAGTCATGGATAATCGTGCCCCTGACTCAACCAACTTCCTCTTTTCCTCCCTCCCCCCCCTGTCTCCAGCCCCCGGTTCAGATCTATGGCATTGAGGGTCGCTATGCCACTGCCCTCTACTCTGCTGCGTCCAAACAGAACAAGCTGGACCAGGTGGAGAAGGAGCTGCTTCGAGTGGGAGTGAGTACCTGTGTCCTCGGCGCCGTTCCTGTCCCTGCCCTACGATTTCCCCTTCGGCTGTTAGCTGTGCGTTCCTGTGCGGTGTAACCTGTACAAGAACCCCAGAAACCTCAAAACGCTTGCTGCAGACATGATATTTAATAAGACCACTCTTTTATCTGAAACTACTGTGTGATACAGGCTGGGAGATACGTAAATCTATTAACTTCATGAACCCAGTGTTTCCAGTGGGAAGATCAAATCAAAGTATAGTCTAAGAACCCTTGTTGTTTTAGAAGGTCAAGTTTATGCTTATAAACCTACAATAGTCAACTGTCTTTTGAGTATGTTTTCACTCTACTAAAATTATATTTGTTCATAAAAGTTTCTGAAGAACCTGGGTTTAAATTTTTTTTTTTTTAATCACATTCCTTATTTATTGGAATTGGGAGTGTTGGGCAGGCGCAGTATGGTATAGAGGTCAGAGTCCTTTCCCTCTACCCTGGGAGTTTGTAATTCCTTCCTTCCCAAGATATGAAGGAAGGATGGCTGAGCAGAGGCTGCTGGGTAACCAAGTCAGGGCCAGGCGTCAGCATCAGCATGAGACAGAACTGATAGACCAGGGCCTCCTAGAACAGGAAACTCCTCGCTCATTTTCCTTTGAAAGGAAAGAAAAGAGGAAGACCAGCCTGTGTGTTAGCACAAGCCAAGTGGACTTAGGTCGGAGACTCTGCTGCCGCACTGGGTTAGCCGCTGCTGGGCTGCGGGGGCGGGAGTTACATGCTTTAAGAATAGTGTGTGTTTTCTAATCCACGTTTCTTGAAGAGAGAACAGTCCAGCTGCCTGAGCCAGCATGGTGTTCTCAGACCACCGCACGGGAGCTCCTCATCATTCACCTGCCTTAAGCTGCTTCTCCGTTCATAAAATATTTAGCCGTTTGCCCTCCTCGTCTGCAAATGATACTGAGGAGCTTGCCTGGGCCTGGCTTCCTGTCGGAGACCCTGTGGGAGGCTTCGACCGGAGCATACAGGCCTGTGCTGGTGACCACTGATGCCGTGGTCAGTTGGGCTCTCTTTGAGCCAGGCTTCCTGTGCACCGTGAAGGGATGATTTTGGTGATGGACATTAGCATGGGGTTTGGGCAGACAAGATGGTCCCGTGGGTATGGACATTGTCACAAGCATGAGCACCTGAGTTCATTTTCCGGAGCCCACGTGGTAGAGGGGGAGAACCAACTCTGGCCAGGTCGTTCTTTGACCTGCACGCGCTCGCCATCGCTATTCTCTGTCTCACAGACACACACACTCACACACACACACAGACTCTCTCTCACACTCACACACACACAGACTCTCACACACACACACATAGACTCTCTCACACACACACACACAGACTCTCTCTCACACACACACAGACTCTCTCACACACACACACAGACTCTCTCACACAGACACACACTCACACACACACTCACACAGACTCTCACACACACACACAGACTCTCACACACACACACACACTCACACACACACTCACACACACACACACTCACCATGGCTGTTCCCTCTCTCACACACCCTCACTCACTCATTAGATTTTGCTGTGGTATAACCCAGACGTCAGTTCTAGAGGAGACAGTTATCTGAGGGTCTAGAAGTGATCATGAGAAGGTGGGTAACGCTAACCCAGGGACATACTTGCAGAGATCTTTCTGCGGCTTCTCGGGTGGAAATCCTAGAGTGAAGTCAGCGCTGCCTGGCAGTGGACTGAATTCTGCCTAGGAGCCAGCGGGGTGCTGGGGCCACCGGGCAGGCGCGTGGAGATGTGTAACTGGAAGGTGTCTGCCCAGGAAGGGCCACTGTGGGTCCTTGAACCCCGGCCTGATGCTGAGGTCAGCAGGTGGCTACCTAAGTCACACATTTGTGATTTCGCAAAATGGGGATTCCCAACATTGTTACGGTTTTTGTTCTCTCCCTCACAGACCGGAATGTCATAGTTAGGTTTGTCTGTAAGAGAGGGCACAGTCAGGGTTTCCTGAGACAGAGGCCTCGGTGTACTGGGGGGGGGGGGGTTGCTGAGGAGAACGGGGCTTACCATGTCACACGAGGTAGGGTAGACGTGAGACCGTGGCTGCTTAATTTCTTATGAGTCCTTAGAAACACACGTAAGAAACTTCATAAGGTATTTGAAGTTCTTTAAAGAATGCCTTTAATCCCGTGTAAAGTCACGGACAGCGGAGTGTGTAACACTGGGATCTGTGCACTTTCAGCAACTCCTGAAGGACCCCAAGGTGTCTCTGGCCGTTCTGAACCCCTATGTCAAGCGCTCCATCAAAGTGAAAAGCCTGAGTGACATCACAGCAAAGGAGAAGTTCTCTCCGCTGACGGCCAACCTCATGAGTGAGTGTGCTGAAAAGGGATGGGGGGGGGGGACTCCGTGCCCCAGGAAATCCGAGGGGCATCAGTCAGATGCCTGGAACTGGAGTTCTGGGTGGTTGTGAGCCAACAGATGGGCACTGGGAGCTGAGCCAGTTTCTCTGCAGGAGAGCCACCCTGTGCTCGTAATCACCGAGCCCTCTCCCCAGACCCCGTCCATACAAAGGACTTTGAATGCAGCATTTTCAGGCTACAAGTTGATATTGCTTCAGTTTGACCCGTGAGTTTCCTGTCACTTCCAGATTTACTTGCTGAAAATGGTCGCCTCAGCAACACCCAGGGGGTCATCTCTGCCTTTTCCACCATCATGAGTGTCCACCGTGGAGAAGTGCCATGCATGGTGACCACGGCATCTGTAAGTGGCCATTGCTGCTGCACTGGGGAACATTGCTTGTCACTAGGGAGCCTTCTGGAGCCTCTGTCTGGAAGGCCAGTGTAGGTGTTATTAGTGATCAGTCATGGGATCCTGGCTGCATTTAAAGGACATCCAAGTGTTGCGTGAAATAGTGATTTGGGTCTTCTTATGCCTGAATTCTTAAATACCATATTGTTCTAGAACAGGGATGTTTAACCTGGGGTGGGGGTGGGGGGGCACAAGCCCTGTGACCTGCTGGGATGCAGTGCAGTAAGTTGACACCATTTGTTGGTACTGCCGTGTGCTGAGACCTTCTAATCTATTAGTGCTCTCAGAAGATGAATGTGACAGACAGACACGCACGCGCACACACACACCGGGGTTGGGGGGTGCAGGAATTGCAGGCCTGTCTTGGTGATGCATGCCCCCTGTCTCCCTCACCGTTAATTGGCCCTACAGTTGTGCTCTGCTTAAAGGGCGGTCTTTCTCTTGCAGGCTGTAGATGAAGCTGTCCTCTCCGAGTTAAAGACAGTGCTGAAGGGTTTCCTGGGTCAGGGCCAAGTGTTGAAACTGGAGGTTAAGGTGGGTTTGTTCGCTTGCACTGTTGGATTTGGTGGTGCTGTGGGAAGTATTGGTGCCAAGGCAAAGCTTGGGCGTGAGTGGCTCTGGCCCCGCATGGTTCCTGTCTATGTGGTGGGTGGTGTGGTGCATAGTTCCTGTCTGTCTCATCTACCCATGTGATGAGAGAAACCCATTTCACACTTGCAACCTGTTTTCTTTCCTAGACTGACCCGTCAATCATGGGTGGGATGATTGTCCGAATTGGGGAGAAATACGTCGATATGTCCACAAAGACCAAGATTCAGAAGCTCAGCAAAGCCATGCGGGACTTGCTCTGAAGTCTGTGTCAGTGGTGTGAGCTCTGGTCCTTGGAGCAACAATAAAACACTTACTGAACAGATGGCACCAAGTTCTTGTCCTTTAAGGGATTTTCGGTACCAGGGTCTTCATTGTCCTGCAGGCTCCTGCCTCTAGTCTCGAGGTTAGAAAGCCCTCAGGGCTGGAGGATTTGGTGTGTGCGTGTTAATCTCAGGGATTCCTTGATTAAATAACACTGTGCCTATACATGCAGTCTGGTACTGCCGGCCAAATCTCCTGTCTTGAGGGTGGCCGAGAACTGGTCTCTAACCAATCATGAAGGAGCCTCCCTACTGAAAGGCTCTGATCCTGACGCACCCTAACCAGAGAATGCTCTGCCTTTCAAGCCTCTGTGCACCTCTTAGGAAGTCCAGCAGTCTTCTGATACAGTAAAACAGGTATCCGTTTTATGCATGAGATTTGTTCACGTGAACATGGCTGCGTGGGGTGGTGGCAAGGCCCAGGGTCTGGTCTGCAGAGCCCATCTCATACTTGTTCCCCTTGTGACAGATGGCACACTGATCACTGCGGAAGCCAACCAGCCAGGCTAACACACAAGTCCCCACGTCCCTTCTCACAGTGTCCCTGAGATGCGCTCGGTCCATCTGTATCCAAACAGCTTCCTCATACTTGTCTCAAAGCTTGCCTCTGAGGCTGCTGGAGAAGCCAGAGCTCTCTGGGTGGTCAACAGCTCCTCCTGGGCCATGCCCAAGAGCATTTGCCTAACAGATGGACAACTCCAGAGGGTTCCTGACAGAGGGCCTCAAGAAGAGGCCAGTGAGCACAGCTGGGAAGTCCTAGAGGGCAGGGATGGCCCAGGGCTCCACTAGTTCTGTGTCCCGCCGTGTGCCCCCTACCGGCCGGCGTGCCTACCAGAGAGTGCTCAGAACTCAGTGCTTTCCCCAGAGCCAATGCCAAGACGGCAGCTGGCCTGTCCGCACTTCTGGCGTGCTGGTAAGCCTGGACTGCAGCTACTGAGTGGTGTTGGCTACCCTCCTTGAAGTGCCTTTTACCACAGGCTGTCTTAGCCAGCAGAAAAGAGGAAATGGAGTATAGCCAGGTTCCCTTGCCCAGCTCAGCCTTGCAGTCTGCGGGTCATTTCTCCCAACTGGTGAATGGCGGGATCCAGAGCAGCCAGGCTGGGGCAAAAGCAAGGTGACACCAAAGGACTGTCCCAGGCTTCCTCACTGAGCGCCGCCACGTCCCACGCCCCTGTGCTGATGCTCTGTCCCACACTGCTGGGCCCTTCTCTGCTGAGTGTAACTTCTCCATTCTGCACCTTCCCAGGCAAATGCCATCCTTCCAGCTGGCTCCTGGGGGCCGGGTGGCCTCACACACCCTAGAACTCCAAGGCTCACACAGCACTGCTGATGCACAGATTACCTCAATCCTTGAGAACAGGCTCAGCCATCTTTCCATGAAGCAACTAAACAGCTTTGCCTCATGAGGTTGCCAGACATGACCCCAAAGCCTTGCCCACGATCATTCTGTGCTGTGGAGTAGTCTGGAACTGTGTAGGCGAGGTTGGCCATGAGTCTGAGGCAGCCTTGACTGTGCCTCTGAAGTGCTGAGATTCAGGCATGTACTTCCACACCCAGCTTGTAAATGAAGCCCTTCCTAACCCTTCAGACAGACCAGCCTGGTGTAGTGCACATCCGTACATAATCCCAGATTCATGACCCGGAAGAAGATCGTGAATTCTGAGGTTGGCCTGGGATACATATCAAAACCCTGTCTGAAAGAGCAGAACAAAAATCCCTTTAACCCAACACTCGGGACACAGAGGCAGGTGGATCTCTTGAGTTCAAGGCCAGCCTGGTCTACAGAGTGAGTTCCAGGACAGCCAGGGGTACAGGGAGAAACCCTGTCTGAAGAAAACAAAGCAAACGAAACAGAGCTGGAGTGACGGCTCGGCGGTGAAAAAGACACATTCATCTTCCAAATGTCCAGAGTTTGAATGCAGCACCCACATTAGGCAGCTCACAAACACTGTAACTCCAGGAGATCGACACCTCAGCCTCTATAGGCCAAGTGCACCTGTGTAGACATACCTGCTTCCCCCCATTATCACCCACACACACACACCATATAATTAAAGCCATTTGGTTCTTAGGACAAATTAGGGTAAATGAAGGGACAGCCAAACAGCCCTCAAAACCTCACTGTGGAAGACAAGAGCTAACGAGAAAGAAAGCAAACAGAAATCGGAAGGTTTCTTTGAGTTGTGCAATTGGGCAGCCCTTGTGGTTGGACACAATGTGTTAACTACTATGTAGTACACAGGTAACATCCTGTGCTGAGTATACAGAAGGCGGCACAGGAAGGGCATCACTTGTTTAACCCCGAAGCCAGTCTCGGGTTGTGAGGCAGGAGGATCAGGGGATACAGTCAACCCTAGATAGCTACCTGTGACCTGTCCAAAGAGCAAAAGCCCGCTCGTGCACAAGAGTTATTTCTAGGAGAGTTTCGTGGGTTTTCTCCTTGTTGGGCTTTGCCAGGTTTCTTTGGCTCCCGGGCCCCGACATTTCTCATGCTATACAAGGTAGATTTTCTCATGTTCTCAGGAATGCTCAACACAGGGAGTCTGTCCCACAGAGCGTACTATCTGAGGGTACTGGCAGCTGCCATGTTTTGTTTTTTATTTATTTTACATCATTTTCTTATCTCTGGGAAATAGACACAGGATGAGATACTCGTTTTCAGGGCTGTTAGCATCCTGTGTGTCAGCAAAGAAGGAGAGGAAGAAAGCTCAGAATAATAATCCGAGGTAGTGAGGTTGGCTGATCTTGTTTTATTATGAACTATGTGATTTAAACCACACAGGTCAAACCGACCAGAGAATGAGGTGCACGGGCCTAGCGATTGCCACTGGTAAAAAAGGCGACAGCCAATGCGTTGTATCTTTCCTCTGGACTGGTAAAACAACATTTCACATGTAATAAAGGCCTGAAGGGCATCCAGACATCAAAAACAAACAAAAAAAGAACCCTGCTTTTAAACAAACGGAAAAGAAGCTTGTCTAATAATCTTTAGAACCCCACTAATGTTATAAAACACACAATATAATCCTTTCATGAAAAATGCTGTTACTTAGCAGCAAGTACACATTACAATGAACCAGACATCCATCGGTGGAGAGGCTTAGTTCTTCCACTGGGCACGGCTGTGAAGGAGCTGCATGTTACCAGCATTGTGGCCCACTACAGTGATCACAAAGGCTAACCACCAACTCTGTGCGGGAGGGCCCCATGTTCCCACTCGAGTCTGCAGATCCAGAAGACCCAGGACGGGGATATTTGACTCATTTATCCTCACAACCTATGGCCATCCCAGCCCAGGGGGCATCATTCCAGGAGAAAAGGGACAGGGTTTATGCAGACAGAGGTGCAGGCGTGGTTCGGCACCTGGCCTGACATGGCCTTCCCAGGCTACATTGGTAGAGCTCTCTAAGTGGCCTCACCTTGGGGACTAGAGGCGACTACGGAACACAGTCATTTCTAGCTTTAGCAGAGTCCAGAGAGCATCCTGATGCAAAGTGCCTCAGGCGGTCCATCACTTGACTCCAGCATCCACCCGCACAGGGTTAAGACAGCACACAACTTACTGAAAGACATACGGGCCCAACCACACTTCCTGCTTGTCCTTTAAAATAGTGGCCCCTGGACTTCCTGCTGTGATCAGTCACCATTCACTTGAAACCAGCTCTTAATTGAGAGGCACTTCTGATCAGGTGGGAGCAGCTGGACTCAGGGTCACCACAGGGGTCAGAGGGGAGAGGTTAGATGCTGAGTTTCACAAACACTCCCTGGGTCGCCTGAAGGAACATTCCTGCTTGTCACGTATAGACCAGCGTACTCAGAAGCAGCCTGAACCTCTCATATTTTTCTGGCCTCTTGCTTCAGCCTGGGCCTTCAGGAAACTGCTGGGTGGTATCTGTTCACCCTGCAAACAGCTGAGCCTACCCAGGCTCCGTCTCTCCAGACCACACCCAGGTCTGATTCCCAGTGGAGAGAGAAGCTGAAACCAGGATGTGGCCTCCCTGGATGCTCCTGAATTCTCTGACCAGAGCCCACAGCCTGTGGCACCAGGTCTGTCAGGAGGCAGGCCACACATCTCAGCCTTCAGAACATGACATCTGTATAAGGCAACCTGTGGTGTAACATGGTCTCATCCCAAGCCATGGCCACAGGGTCCCTTCCAGATCATGCCTCCACCCACTTCACTGACACCGTATCCCCTGCAAAGCAGAAAAAAAATCACACTTTTGAATTCCTAAGCATTGAACTTGGACTTGTCTTTTTAATAAAACTTGGTTGGGTTGAACCCAAGTGATCCGATCAAGCAGTACTACTCCTGGGATACGTTGGTTTTTTTTAAAAGTTTTTTCTATAGTTTATGCACTTAAATTAGATTCCTAAAATACTCTCATATACATACAGAAAAATAATCTCTCAATGAGAAATCACATTTTACAATAACAAGTTAAATATTCAGACTAGAGAATCTGTTAGGTTTACGCGACATTGAACAGCATAGCCTCTTACATGCTGTGTGTATATACATATAACCATCATCCCCAAAGACACACAGCGGAGATCTCACGACGAGCCACGTACAGAGCACAAGCTTTTCACACTGTGTAGTGGATTTCTGTCTCTTCCTTTGCTGGGGACTGCGTAAGTAAGATGCGGACGCCTACGAGATGTAAGCTGACTACCAGGCTCAGGTCGTTCTGTGGAGGCCTCTCGCCTCTGTGCGGGGGAGGGGAGTGCACACCTACGTCCCCTGTCGGCACGTGTGACAGACAGTACAAAGCTGAAGGGCTAGGACAGCAGAGCACAGGCGAATGCAGCCCCTCCCCTGTGTGCAGAGCCGTGCATAGGGCAAGGAATCAGGGTTCCACTTGTGGGCTGTGAGGACCAGATCTGAGGTTGATCTCTCAGTTCCAAGATACTTGGGGCCATTAACAACGAACGCTCACTTAAATGCCTGAGACTATTCCAGAATGTTCTGACACAGCAAATACTCAGCAAGTAACAATTTATGGATGTTGATTGACAGGGTGTC